TCCAATTTGGAACGAACTGCTTTTGAAATGGAATTGTCCACTTTCTTACACCTATTGATATCGGATCGAGCCCAAAACTTGGGAAACATCATAATATGGTGGGAGGAATCATTTGGTGGATTTTGAGTGAAATCCAATCGCTAGAACTATGCAATACACCAACCACGCCAATTTGGAACGAACTGCCTTTCAAATTGAATTGTCCAATTTCTAACACCTACTGATATCGGATCGAGCCCAAATCTTGGGAAGGATCATAATATGGTGGGAGGAGTCATTTGGTGAGTTTTGAGTGAAATCCAATCGTTAGAACTATGCAATACACCAACCACTCCAATTTTGAACGAACTGCGTTGGAACTTGAATTGTCCCATTTCTTACACCTATTGATATCGGACCGAGCCCAAAACTTGGGAAACGTCATAATACAGTGGGAGGAGTCATTTGGTGAGTTTTGAGTGAAATCCAATCGCTAGAACTATGCAATACACCAACCACTCCAATTTGGAACGAACTGCCTTTCAAGTTGAATTGTCCAATTTCGTAACTCTATTGATATCGAATCGAGCCCAAAACTTGGGCAACAACATAATATGGGGGAAGGAGTCTTTTGGTTAGTTTTGAGTGAAATCCAATCGCTAGAACTATGCAATACACCAACCACTCCAATTTGGAACGAACTACGTTGGAACTTGAATTGTCCAATTTCTTACACGTATTGATATCGGATCTAGCCCAAATCTTGGGAAACATCATAATATCGTGGGAGGAGTCATTTGGTGAGTTTTTAGTGAAATCCAATTGCTAGAATTATGGAATACACCAACAACTCCAATTTGGAACGAATTGCGTTGGAACTTGAATTGTCCAATTTCTTACACCTATTGATATCGGATCAAGCCCAAAACTTGGGAAACATCATAATACGGTGGGAGGAGTCATTTGGTAAGTTTTCAGTGAAATCCAATCGCTAGAACTATGCAATATACCAACCACTCCAATTTGGAACGAATTGCCTTTCAAGTTGAATTGTCCAATTTCTTACCTCTATTGATATCGGATCGAGCCCAAAACTTGGGCAACATCATAATATGGTGGGAGGAGTCATTTGGTGAGTTTCGAGTGAAATCCAATCGCTAGAACTATGCAATACACCAACCACTCCAATTTTGAACGAACTGCATTGGAACTTGAATTGTCCAATTTCTTACACCTATTGATATCGGACCGAGCCCAAAACTTGGGAAATATCATAATACGGTGGGAGGAGTCATTTGGGGAGTTTTGTGTGAAATCCAATCGCTAGAACTATGCAATACACCAACCACTCCAATTTGGAACGAACTTCCTTTCAATTTGAATTGTCCAATTTCATAACTCTATTGATATCGGATCGAACCCAAAACTTGGGCAACAACGTAATATGGGGGGAGGAGTCATTTGGTTCGTTTTGAGTGAAATCGAATCGCTAGAACTATGCAATACACCAACCACTCCAATTTGGAACGAACTGTGTTGGAACTTGAATTGTCCAATTTCTTACACCTATTGATATCGGATCAAGCCCAAAACTTGGGAAACAACATAATATGGTGGGAGGAGTCATTTGGTGAGTTTTGAGTGAAATCCAATCGCTAGAACTATGCAATACACCAACCCCTCCAATCTGGAACGAACAACGTAGGAACTTGAATTGTCCAATTCCTTACACCTATTGATATCGGATCGAGCCCAAATCTTGGGAAACATCATAATATCGTGGGAGGAGTCATTTGGTTTGTTTTGAGTGAAATCCAATCGCTAGAACTATGCAATACACCAACCACTCCAATTTTGAACGAACTGCGTTGGAACTTGAATTGTCCAATTCCTTACACCTATTGATATCAGATCGAGCCTAAATCTTGGGAAACAACATAATATCGTGGGAGGAGTCATTTGGTTTGTTTTAAGTGAAAACCAATCGCTAGAAATATGCAATACACCAACCACTCCAATTTGGAACGAACTGTGTTGGAACTTGAATTGTCCAATTTCTTACACCTATTGATATCGGATCAAGCCCAAAACTTGGGAAACAACATAATATGGTGGGAGGAGTCATTTGGTGAGTTTTGAGTGAAAACCAATCGCTAGAACTATGCAATACACCAACCCCTCCAATTTGGAACGAACAACGTAGGAACTTGAATTGTCCAATTCCTTACACCTATTGATATCGGATCGAGCCCAAATCTTGGGAAACATCATAATATCATGGGAGGAGTCATTTGGTTTGTTTTGAGTGAAATCCAATCGCTAGAACTATGCAATACACCAAGCACTCCAATTTTGAACGAACTGCGTTGGAACTTGAATTGTCCAATTCCTTACACCTATTGATATCAGATCGAGCCTAAATCTTGGAAAACATCATAATATCGTGGGAGGAGTCATTTGGTTTGTGTTAAGTGAAAACCAATCGCTAGAAATATGCAATACACCAACCACTCCAATTTGGAATGAACTGTGTTGGAACTTGAATTGTCCAATTTCTTACACCTATTGATATAGGATCGAGCCCAAATCTTGGGAAGGATCATAATATGGTGGGAGGAGTCATTTGGTGAGTTTTGGGTGAAAACCAATTGCTAAAACTATGCAATACACCAACCACTGCAATTTGGAATGAAGTACGTTGGAACTTGAATTGTCCAATTCCTTACACCTATTGATATCAGATCGAGCCTAAATCTTGGGAAACATCATAATATCGTGGGAGGAGTCATTTGGTTTGTTTTGAGTGAAATCCAATCGCAAGAACTATACAATACACCGACCACTTCAATTTGGAACGAACTACCTTTCAAATTGAATTGTCCAATTTCTTACACCTATTCATATCGGATCGAGCCCAAATCTTGGGAAACATCATAATGTGGTGGGAGAAGTCATTTGGTGAGTTTTGAGTGAAATCCATTCGCTAGAACTATGTAATACACCATCCACTCCAGTTTGGAACGAACTGCGTTCGAACTTGAATTGTCCAATTTCCTACACTTGTTGATATCGGATCGAGCCCAAAACTTGGGAAACACCATAATATGGTGGGAGGAGACATTTGGTGAGTTTTGAGTGAAATCCAATGGCTAGAACAATGCAATACACCAACCACTCCAATTTGGAACGAACTGCCTTTCAAGTTGAATTGTCCAATTTCTTACACCTATTGATATCAGATCGAGCCCTAATCTTGGGAAACACCAAAATATTGTGGGAGAAGTCATTTGGTGAGTTTTGAGTGAAATCCATTCGCTAGAACTATGTAATACACCAACCACTCCAGTTTGGAATGAACTGCGTTGGAACTTGAATTGCCCAATTTCATACACCTATTGATATCGGATCGAGCCCAAATCTTGGGAAACATCGAAATATGGTGGGAGGAGTCATTTGGTGAGTTTTACGTGAAATCCAATCGCTAGAACTGTGCAATACACCAACCACTTCAATTTGGAACGAACTGCGTTGGAACTTGAATTCTCCAATTTATTACACCTATTGTTTTCGGATCGAGCCCAAAACTTGGGAAACGTCGTAATATGGTGGGATGAGTCATTTGGTGAGTTTTGAGTGAAATCCAACTGCTAGAACTATGCAATACACCAACCACTCCAATTTGGAACGAACTGCGTTGGAACCGGAATTGTCCAATTTCTTACACCTATTGATATTGGATTGAGCCCAAATCTTGGGAAACATCATAATATGGTGGGAGGAGTCATTTGGTGGGTTTTGAGTGAAATCCAATCGCTAGAACTATGCAATACACCAACCACTCCAATTTGGAACGAACTGCCTTTGAAATGGAATTGTCCAATTTTTTACACCTAATGATATTGGATCGAACCCAAATCTTGGGAAACATCATAATATGGTGGGAGGAATCATTTGGTGGGTTTTGAGTGAAATCCAATCGCTAGAACTATACAATACACCGACCCCTCCAATTTGGAACAAACTGCGTTTCAAATTTAATTGTCCAATTTCTTACACCTATTGATATCGGATCGGGCCCAAATCTTGGGAAACAACATAATATGGTGGAAGGAGTCATTTGGTGAGTTTTGAGTGAAATCCCGTTGCTAGAACTATGCAAAACACCAACCACTCCAATTTGGAACGAACTGCGTTGGAACTTGAATTTCCCAATTTCGTACACCTATTGATATCGGATCGAGCCCAAATCTTGGGAAACATCAAAATATGGTGGGGGGAGCCATTTGGTGAGTTTTGAGTGAAATCCAATCGCTAGAACTATGCAATACACCAACCACTCCAATTTGGAACGAACTAACTTTCAAATTGAATTGTACAATTTCTTACATCAATTGATATCGGATCGAGCCCAAATCTTGGGAAACAACATAATATGGTGGAAGGAGTCATTTGGTGAGTTTTGAGTGAAATCCAATGGCTAGAACTATGCAATCCACCAACCACTTCAATTTGGAACGAACTGCGTTGGAACTTGAATTGTGCAATTTCTTACACCTATTGATATCGGATCGAGCCCAAATCCTGGGAAACATCATCATATGGTGGTAGGAGTCTTTTGGTGAGTTTTGAGTGAAATCCAATGGCTAGAACTATGCAATACACCAACCACGCCAATTTGGAACGAATTGCGTCGGAACTTGAATTGTCCAATTTCATACACCTATTGACAGGACCCGACCCAAATTCCACTTTGGAATCCGAGCCAAGCCCTGTACGTGTCCGACACCTGGCAAGTGCCGAGCCCAAAAGACCTAATTGCCCTTCTAGTCAAAATTCAACAACAACTGGGGCTTGAGTTTTGCCGAAAAACTCAACAGAGTCTTCCCTGAAACGGACCAATCCCAAGATTACACCTGTCAAACATGCATATAAAAATATACACCAACTGCCAGCATACAAAAGATTTACATACTAACAGTTAGACAAGTGTTCTAGGGCAATATCAGAGCTCTACACAGATTAGATTACAGGTATAAAATAATTACACAAGACCCTACGTTGTCAGGAAAATGTGGCGGAAGATGGACTCGGCCCGGTGGTGGCGCGCTGACGCACGACTACTGCCTGGGGGCGCAAAACATTTAAAGGGTGAGTGGATCAAAAACAAAGCGTTAGAAAATAGTATTAGAACATACTAACCCCTCTGTAAAAACAGTTATAAAACTATATCATTTTCTTATTTATACTAGTACTAAAATCAATACATTTCTAATTATCTAAGAGCTAATCATACACTTAATCAAACATTAAGTCTTATATAAATATACGTACAGAAATCAATGCTTGATATATGTATATATATATATATATGTATATATATAAACAATCACACACTTGATTAAAACATTAAATCCTTGAAAGGATTGAAATCAACTTTTAAAATCTACCACCTAGGTGTACCCATTTAGTAATCCGTCAATTCCTTATAATCCGTCAATTCCTTTAATTTCCGTCAATTCCTTTATAATCCGTCAATTCCATTCTCGTGCCACCGGAGTGACACGTCCTAGCAGACCTCGGGAAACACAA